TTATAAATGTTATCTTTTGTTTTACATTCTCAACTGAGTACTCCCGTGGTCCAACTTACCAACACCGGTTAATGGCCTATAAGAGCTTAGCGAATTTTTTTTTGTTTCGTTTTTTTTTCTTTCAACCGTGACATTGGCAAAGTCATCATTTCTCATAATGATGGAGTCATAAAAATAAAAAGTGACAGTGAAGACGATTGTCAAGAACAGCTAGTTTATTTTTATTCCTCGCATTAATGTTATGTCTGTCACTACTTTTCATGAAAAAAAATGCTATTTCTCTTAACATAAATTACTTAAGCACATTTGTGTATGACTGTATATATAAAAATGATTATTTACGATATTCATCGTACCTTTACCAATGAACTTAAATACGGAGCTGCTGAAGAGCCTATCAATAGTTATTTCTTTTGTTTGGTCAACCATACAAATGAAATAATTTATATACTGAAACTACTTTTGACAATAGTATAAGTCTCATTCTTAATGCATACCGCAAAAGAATGTGTGTACCACAGAAGTTACTATTTGGGGCTACTTGAGGCTGTAGTCGGTCACATCTACCCTTTCGTTAAAAAAAAAGTTGAAAATAACGCTTTAACTTAAACAAAACTTTAGAGCGATGCCACAATGGCGTTGCCGGTACATTGCATCGTCGCGAAGCTTTGATTTCAACGCATCGAGTGACACACGGGCAATACGTTGTCGCCACTTAAGCCGGATTTACATTGATCTGGCGTGTCGTGGCGTGACGCTTCAGAACGGTGTGAGTTTCGTACACACAGCACAAGCCGTCACGTCAAATTGCGACACACTAATATAAATCTGATCATATTAAATGTATGAAACCGATACCGTTCTGACGTGTCACGATACGACACGTCAGACATATGTAAATCCGGCTTTACTTACGCATCGCAGCACCCCTCCCCGCTTCGTCTCATGGCGTTCCGTCGTCGCACGCCGGCGCCATTTCAACGCACCATGTGGCATGTCGTTCTAATTTATATTGTGTAGTATAACGCAGCGTCACCGCTCATGCGACGCAACGCAAAATGTGGCATCGCTCTGACTCGTATCTAAATGACGCAAGAACTGAATTCAAACTAAATTATTGCAAAACCTAATGATTTGCGTTTCTCCAAATCCAAAGTACGTCACGATTATCGAAACGTAAGTATTACGGTCATATTACCACTTCTGACGATTTGTTATACTAAAATACCTATATATACCTACCTGAATTGGTACTAAGTATCACCCCATTTGCGTCATAGTTTTGCCGAAATTCATAAACATTTACAAAAAGGTGCGATTCCTCGAATTATTTGTTTACCTCTTGTATCTTATATATGATTTAGGTACAAAGCTACCTGTTTTCTAACTTCATAAATAAAGTACTGGATTGTAACTCTCTTCAATGTTATCTTTATTGAACTTTGTAAGTCATTTTAAATTGCTATTAATATTTAAGCTCTTTAGAAACAATAATTTGCAACAGGAATATAGGTACTCGTATTGATTACCTTAATTAATTAAGTATTCTGTAATAGTGTAGTGTTCTGCGATAACTTGAGATCTCGTGAAAATATTTATATTAAACTACCAGACAACTACACCATTTGCCTGGTCTCAAACTAAACAATTCAGTATACTATAAGTCCCGGGGCAACTAAATTAACTCCAGGGCTCCCAGAACACCCAAATTAGTACTACCAGGAATCGAACGCGACACCTTCTCATTCGAGCCCACAGTTCTTACCACTGGGCCAAGGAGCTCGACAAATATCTTGTTCTACGTCTTATGAAATATGAACCAAGTGATTTTCACATGTTGATGCAGTTATGTATCGGTAGCAGATAAATGTTTACCGAGTTTTTAAAAACCGTAAAACAAAAGTTGTTTTGTTTAAATTATACAAATATCATGTTTAAACATGCTTTTTTGGTAGAGCTCTTCAAATTAAAACAAAAACAAAATTTCTCTACTTACTTGTACTTACTTACTCTACTTACGGTACTTTTCACCAATTATGTACAAAATGTCACTTTGACATTATACTTTAAAAATAATTAGTAAATTGTTTGAAACCCAATGGTGTATTGTATATGGTTAAACCATTCACGTATTTATTCCTTTTTGGTAAACGATTTTTTCTTTAAAATCAACACCGTAAATGGGTATCTTTTAATTTCGTACATATTTTACAAAATGTCTTGTTCTTTCTTCTTGATTATAAAGTTAACACGCGGCATCGGGTCAAATCAGATCTCATGCTCACCCAATCTGACTGGAACTGACCTAATGGCAAAAAAACTATTAACACTGTAATCAGTGTTAATAGTTTTTTTGCCAATTATAAATATATCGATGACACAAGTCAACTAATTGTTTATATCGTAATTTTATCTGAAGCAGAATACATATGTTCATCGGACTTTAAACCGTGAGCCTGGCCCTGACCTTACTATCTCGATGTTTCTGATTATCTCCAATCGACCATCAAACTATTTATAGCAAATGCAACGTTATAATCAAACGCAAACATTGGCATTATACTATTAATAGTACGATTGATTGTAATCGCGTTTACGATGCCTTTGATCAGATGGGCGTACATAAAAAAAAATACGCAATGAGAGCGGTACGGATGACGTAACAAATTTTATAACAAAGACGTAAGTACTTAAGTCAACAATGTCTTCTAGAAAAAAGCGGCAGTAACGCAAACCACTCACATAAAATCGTAATCGCTCTACCAGAACCTTTTGAATACGCGGAAAAAATTTTGATGAATCAAAGATAAAGCTTTTATTTAGAATAAACACGCTTATTGGATGTGGGCTCTCTCTTTAGATGTTGACGTTTAATCTTTGAGAATCCCTTTATTGTCGTTCCGTTGTTATGAGATTAACTCTAGGGTTGTCACCAGATCGACACACAACACTAAGGGCGCAATCTCATTATGTCGTGATAACAGATAGTTGTACAGTTTAAAGTGTCGTGGCTTGTATATTTAAATGAAATTGTTCACATAATATAGTATAACACGATTAACTTGATTTTCACGACTTTTTTGACGTTACCACGACAGATTGTTGTGACGATGGGAAGAGCTAGAACGATAGTCGTCAGACGATAAATAAAACGTCACGATAAAAATGTGACGTTTTATTTAATATCAGCTTGGCTAGCATAATCGCAGCTTCAAATGATTCTGTCGTGCAAACGATAAGACGGCTGCCGTAAACCGATAAATTATCGTCACGATCTAGTGGGAATAGATAGACACGACAGTCGTTCAACGACAAAAGAAACGTCCACGACAGCGTCACAACAGATAGTCGTGTTATGGGAACAGGCTAGACGCGACAATCGTCCAAACACAAATAAAACGTTACGACGTAATGGGAACGCGCCCTCACGATATCCGGCGACATTTGGCGATACTTGTGCTGGTGATTTGATCCCGCGACAATTTCTTCTTATAGTTTAAATAACACGTTCTGCTCAAAGAATTTTGAGATTACGAAGCTCTATCCAGTAGTTTGGTTCTAATTCCATTTAATTTATTATTATTCATTCAAAGACCGAACAAATACAAAGAAAAATTCCAACAGTCGCTGTGAGTCGATTTTTTTTTGTATTTGTTCGATATTTGTATCAATAATAATAATAGAATTTATGTTTAGAAGAATAGTGTTCTTTTCGTGAATGATAGTGATGACATGATAATAAAAGGAAGAAAAATAAACCGGCAGATAGTCGTCACCACAAATTAATTTAAGAGGCAATGCATACGTTTCTATAATAAAATTTCTGCTCAAATATACAGGGTTATTTACAAAATATTAAGAACCTCGCTGAATTATATTACTAACATCATAAATAACAATTTTTGTTCCTTTTTACAAAACATAATAAATTTACCAAAAATAAACTTTTAAATCTTTAGTGTAACCACCTGACACTTTTTAGATATGTAATAGTAGATCGGATTGTAATTTGAGCGGAATTTACATTTTTTTGATGCGTCATGTCGTGATGCGTCAGGACGGTGTCGGTTTCATATACACAGCACAAGCCGTCACGTCAGATTGCGACACACTATTAGAAATCCAACGATATTAAATATATGAAACCGATACCGTTCTGACGCGTCACGACACGACACGTCACGCAAATGTAAATCCAGCTTTACGCTAACGCTATCTTTTGTTAACGCACTGAGCTATCACCGTTTACTTTAAAGCGTTTAGAGCGGTCTATTAAAATATTTTTATTTTTGTACCAAAATAAAATCTGTTGAAAGTCATGAAACAAAAGTTGATGATGTTAGTAATATACCCAGTCCTACGAGGTTGTTACAATTTTACAAACAATGTTGTATATTTCAATTAATTATTTGACTTTTGCAAGGTTCACAATACAACGTGAAACAAAAACTTTATTTAGAAAGGGTTATACTAGTATTATCACAGCTTCTGCCTGATTGGGTGACAAAAATTTAAGATAGTAACTTGTTCAGTTCATTTAGGCTGTTCCTGTCTATGATGTATTAAATAAGCTTATAAATGACAAATGCCTATTGGTGGAGATCAACCCCTAAAGTTAATTATTCATTCTTCTCGGCCGAATCTGCCTTACAAATGAGTCAGTAGTGCGTAATGACGATTTCAATTTTAATTTGTTTACCCGTGCCATAAAGACTTTTGAAATATATCTTCATTTCGTAATTTTTAATTGTTTCAACGGTATATTCTAACAACATCGGAGGTAAATCGCTACAAGAACTTTCCGAATCAAAAATAGAAAACATTTGTTTATTTTTAGCAAAAATAAAGCTCCAATGACGGAATGCACTGCTAGCGTCAGAGCAAAATTCATTTAGCGTAGACGGACATAAACCAATTTCTATAAGTTAATTGTCTGCATAAACCATTTCAATCAGATATATAAATAAAATTTAATAATATTTGCTCTTGTCTAATTCCAGATCACGAAGATCTTCAGGAGCAGCGGCAGTTACGCCTCAGCCAAAAAATCTTAATCCTGGAGGTAAGTTTCTTATGGTAATGTCTTGTGGCGAAGCGTGAAAATAATCGATGATAAAGTCGGTCTACAACAAAATACACCTACCTACCTTAACAAAAACTTCTTTTGCCGCTAAAAAGCATTGACTTACAATTATATGGACGTCGGGTCCGCGCTAAAAAGTGTCCGCGCTTGTAAGGCGCTAAAATCGTATACAGAGCGCGACACTCCGCTTTAGTCTTCATTTGTTCTACGGACAGCGCGATACTGCGATGACATAACAATTTAAATTTCGAATAGGTTGACTTGGGACATTTTTTTCGTGGTTTTTGTATTAGACCCGTCGTCCATTTATTTGTAAGTCAATGCTAAAAAGGCACAAAGTTTTATTGAATATTTTGAACATACATTTTTTAAATGGTAGAGTATACGCGCTATATAGTCTTTTGATAATACTTGGAAAAATTTTGACAAGCCGGTGGGAATCGAGTTATATGAACGCCTTGCCACTGCTAAATTGTGTAACTACATATTTAAAAGAAAATAGTAACCTAATATCGTATACTTATCATCGTCATCATCATCTTAATAGCAGTAGAGCTCCTTGTCTCTTGTTAGCCATAATTCCGTGACTGCTTTAGTCCATCGGGCGTCTACTCGTCTAATTAAATAATATTTAGTGTTCTTTAATAATTAACGAAAACAAATATACACTTCAAAGTACTTAAAATAGACACAAAATTAACAGGAAAGTGTACTGTTATATTATGGAAGAGTTAAAAAGTTCACAAGCTCTTTAACATCATCAATATTATAGTACTGTAATTTGGAAATAATATAATACGGATTTACATGACACCATTCGCTGCATTGTATACTTTAAAAAAAAACTAAATTACATTTTGTAAAAATAATAAAAACTTTTATGTATTTCTACTTGGATATATTTTTGAAGTTTCAAAAGTTATACAATGCTTTTGTAGTTTCGAAGTCATTGACTTGTTTAGGTTTAGGTTTATGAGTTGTTTAGTTTTAAGTTCGTTCACCTTTTTCTTTACGAATATGTATTCAATTTTTTTTGTAATAAGTTGGTGATGACGGGACGAGCTACTCGTGCGCCTGATAGTAAGCTACACGCCTGTCCGTGCCTGTAGCAGTGCCGCTCAGAGCTTTAAATCACAAAGATCTGCGGGACACTGTCACTGCGCCCGTCACCCTGAGACATAAGTTGACAAGTCCCATGTGTCTGTAATTTCACCAGCATCCTTACCCTTCGAAACCGGAAAACAGTAATGTTGACATTACTGCTTGGCGGCAGAAAAATGAATTAATCGAGAGTGTATAGCGTATACAAACACTATGGTCTAACATTTTTTGTATATGTAGACACATAAAATGTTGATACCCATTGTACCCAAATAGAATAGCAGATTGACTTCCCGTGTTGAGAGGTGTTTAGGTATATATTGATGGGTTGTATCAATCTACCGTGAATTTTTTTCCCACTGAGGGCATGTCCACAGCATGAGTCTGTCACATCAAAAGATTCATAAAAATATTTTGCTAGATTTTCTGTATTGAAGAGACGAAGACTACGAGTCCTTTTAAGTGGCATTGTAAACGTGCAGGTGCGTTATACGATGTCAGTTATTTACAGATCGTGTACGTGTATAATTTATAAATTACCTGCGAATACGACACGTAATTATGACAGGATTGTGGTGTGATGGTGTAAATGTGGTGCTAAGGTTTTGTACAGTTGAATATTGATTAAATTGTTTTCGCCGCTTCGATATAGAATAAATTAAATAATAAACTATATTTGATTTACGTAGATACAACATAATTTAATTGTTAAAAATCTTGTGGTGTAAATGGGTGTAGAATTAATTATTCACCAAGAAACTGCTGGCCATTTTATTTTAAATTTTATATATATCATCTTTTTTCGTTGTGAATCTTCTTCAACCTGCAGGTTTCATCACGATTTCCTTCAAACACACGCCACGCTGCCACGGCTTTTACAGTACTCGTATAGATATTAATTTGTTTCATATAGTCCGTATTATTTTTATGACATTATATTTCATGTGATCAAAGATTTTTGACGTATAATCACATGTCGTCGTCTTAGAATGAAATTGTCGTATGTGATGTCTATATAATTTTTCACGACGAAGATGAAAATATGGTGTAAAATGTAATAAACGCAATAATGTTTGTAGTTAGCATTTTAATTAGTTAAAGTATACCTCATTCAAATACCATGTTACTTTAATAATACAATTGAGCGACAAGTTTATAAGTTAAGTTCTTCAACGAAAATCAGTAAATACCGACTATGTGAAAACGCGTATGCGAGGTTTTCACTCTAAAGTGACTTTGTGGGCTTTATTATACTTTGGATACGATATACTAAATCATGTGTTTTCAAAGAAACCAACGTTTCGGGCTCTTTACAGGTCCCACTGTCGCAAATGACTGTCTGTAACAAGCCAAAAACTTTTGTTTGTTTGAAAATACATCCAGGACTTTATACTCGGAAAAATATTTTCATTTCCCTTATTATCATCGGTTTCAAAGTATTTATATTGCTTTATTTCACGTCACGAAAAATCATGGCGTTTTAGTTTAATTTATCATGATTCGGTAGCGGGATTTTTTTTATTACACGCATAATTTTATCTTGGAAAACGTGCTTCATGATAAGATTCAATTTGTGTCATTGCATATTAATTAAGTGATTCAGAAATTTATTTTCTCCTTTATCTCCCCATTTGACTCATAATTCGCTTACATAATTATGTTTTATTAATACAATACACATTTTAAAGCATTCCTTATATATTGCTTTATTTCACGTCATGAAAGTCAATTTAACGTATGACGTTTCAGTTTTAGCTATCATGATTTGGTAGCGGGTATTTTTTATTACACGCATAATTTATCTTAGAACACGTGCTTCATGGCAAGATTCAATTTATCATGCATATTAATTGGTGATTCAAAAATACTTTTTCTCCTTTATCTCCACATCCGAATCATAATTCGTTTACATAATTATTTTTTATTTACACAATACTTATTTATAGCATTCCTAATGTTTCTATTTACGACCATGAACTGTAAGATGTTCATGAAAGTAATACGGAGAAATCAGATTGCTTGCATATCTCGCAGTCATTATTACGTAGTGTTTACTATTCTTATCTGGGGTGATTAATATGGTGATATACAAGCCTTCGAAGAATCCATAGCACGTCGTAAACATAAAAATCATTATGTGTAACATGTCGGTGATCGTTGAACTTCTAGAAAAATGATTTTCAAGAATAGCGTGAATAAAGGCAGATCTTCTTTCCACAATACTGATTTTACTTGGTAGTTGACGTTTACAAAATGCACGTTTAAACATTTAGAATAATGTGGACTTGGAAATTAAACAATTTTTTTTTATATCTCATAGTTCAGAATGTGGTGATTCGACGTAACTACTGGGTAATCCATCTCAGTATTATTATTTTTTTATCTGTAACCTTACCATGAACTCTTATTACAGTTCAGTATAGGTTCGTAACGACAAAAAAGCGGGATGGTGATATACACTTCATGTAGCGCTGTCTCACAACGATTCATTTTAGGTCCCTGCAACAAGCAGAGAAATTCGTAAGATTTCATAACTCAGTATGTAGCTAAGTTGGTAAAAGCGGCGACCCACTCTCGTATTTCGTCCGACATCCGACCGAAACAATAACTGTCAAATAAGTTATACTCGACCAAATTCAAAAACAATGTTAAGTATGAAGCTTCATTCGCATCACGTGTTACAGTGATTGTTTCGGACGGTGAACGAGAGCACAGGGCCTGGTTTGAATCCAGTCAGATCGAAGGAATTTTTCTTTGTGTTGTTCAAGTTTGACATGCACTGTAATGCTTGGCATCGTAGTAAAAGTTCAAAGCCCATTTGTTGCTCAGATGTGCAGGAAAGGAGTACGGCGTACGGGGAGGCCCGTTTCGTGCACTCCATCTGCTACTATACTCTGATTCTCACTGATTAAACTTCACACAGAGTGTACTCTAATAAGAGAAGACATTTTCGTAAATTGTTTCGTACATAATTTTGCAAAACGCAGAACATTCGTGTACAAGAAAATCGTCACATTTATTACTATTTTATTTATTATTTTCTTACAATATTTCTAAAATTTTGAAACTGTGCAATGTGATGTCCTCTGTACTACGTCACTTTTGAGTCGTGCGACAAACTCTGTTTTTGATCATTTATTTTGCCGATGAACACTTCCAAAACCGCGCTCTATCTATTAGATTAACTCCACAATTTTGCTAAAAGCAATTGTAATAAGAGATGAAATTGCATGATTAGCGATTTTCTAAATTAACAGTAGTAAAAGAAATATTGATATTAAAAATTCAACCAATGAAACAGAGTTTCATATACAAATACTATTAAATATATTTATATACATATTTTGTTAATACCAATAATAAAACAGACATGATGTTATTTAGATTATATGAATTTACTTATCAATCATTAAGAAAGTTCATAGAACAGGCTTGTGGAAAACCCAATTCACTTGGAAAACCCTGTGATGATTCAATTTTATTAAATCCAGCAATAAATAGATATAGTGCTTAATAAAAGTGAACTTATTAATCATTCAATTATCTACTTCAGTATATTTCCATTTTCGTTACATTCGTTCATAGACAGTACGTAAATAGCACCACATAAACTGCTTTTTTAATGCTTATATTGATTCAATATAAAGAATTGAATTTTGTAGATACGTTGTTGATACTTCTCTATGGTGAAGCAGTACGCGGCGACTACACAAAAAGCGGTTGGCAATCGCTCTGTAAAGACCGTAGTTGTTTTTTTGAGATCCATATAGAGAAACGAGGTACCCCGTACTACCGTATTCTGATTTTTAATTTTACGGTAAATGACGTTACTGTCTATGAACGGGTTAATATAAAATAGAAATAGAAAGCATTTATTG